CAACTGCATCCCTCTGACACGCCCAGCATCCGCCGAACAAGACTCTGTACGTATTCTTTGGGAAGAAGGATTGTACCTCAGATTGTGCAGCAGACCGAGCAGCGACCCATCAGTGATATTGACACATGAAGTGAGATCTAGTGTTGTCATTGATGAAGCCATATCGGTTAGCACCACCAAATCGGCACTGGATATAAATGATCGCTGTAGGGCTAGAGATTCAAGCCTAAATGAAAATCCTTTTCTTGCAGTTCGTAGGCAGCCAGGAGGCTTGGAATTCTGATTTGTAAAGCAAGATCTGCAACCAATAAATAAAGAATAACTTTTATAATGAAAATCAGTGATATTCGTGACATTTTGGTTTTTTGGTTTCGTGCTAAAGAACAGAGCAGAAAAAGGGATGGGTCTCGATAATGTCATGTAAGAGCGTCACGCTCTCTACTTTCTTCTTGTCATTTATTTCTCGTATTTTGCTATTTTCTCTTCATTACCATCTCAGTCTAAATGGAAGGGTCCATTCCTCGGAAGAACGAGACTGCTCTATGTAACTGTCCCAAAAGATCAGCGCAAAATGTGGCTTCAATGTACCCAAGTACAAAGTCCTCTACATTTACAGTAATTATCCCAGCAGACAAAAGGGTCGGTGAGAAAGGCCGCTCTGGCTGTGCTCCGTCTCACTCTCTCCTCCACGCCCTTTCGCTGCGACAGCTAATGACTGTGATCGGATTTCTGGGCTTTCTAAGCATTTTAAAGAGGTCTTTCTGAAAAATAGAGGAAATAGAGAGATCTGCTCCTTAATAGTGACCAAAAACAATTGGGCAGTGTAGAATCTGCTTACCGTTTTCCTCGCAAAAAGTGGAGATTTGTTATCTTTAGTGAGCCACCTGCTGATATCGATAGATCACGTAAGGATGACGGAAGTAAAAGTAGCACCGTTTCGTCTAATACAAGTGATCAAAATGTCCATCCTCTACCCTGGAAACCCTTGCGTTAACTATTTACTAATTATTTTAATACAACGGTAGCAACGTTGACAACAATATTATTGCGGTACCATCGCCGCGTCTGCCATCTGCTTCGTTGGCAGTGGTTCGAGAGCAGCACCATAGGAGAACTGACCGTAATTTCGAATCGCTTCAGCTTTGGGCTACGACAAAGTAGCTGACGAAGAGCCAGTTGTACGATTTTGTTCACTTCTGGTGACGAAGCAAAACATTCGACAGTTGGATATGCTGAACTCCTGAAAGAAAGTCCATGAAGTAGACGTGAACGTAGTAATGAGTCCATGAAATAGCCATGACTGCCAGGAGTTCCATCGTTCATGAAACAAGCTCAGTAAATTTTCTACTAGTTCATATCTTCGGAGGTGGTGACAGAAGGGAAAGTTCCAAATATTAGGGTGTCCACAAAGTTCGTTGGCCATTTGTAAACAGCGTCGCGTTACGCAACGCGTTGTGATTTTGCATAAAGATTTCGCAATACTGAAAGTACTCGCGATGGGCTATCTTCTGAGCTAGCTAGCTCTAAATTTCCTTTCCTGCTCTTCCCACAATAAAGCAGTGAAGATGAGTGATAGTCACCACCACCGCCGATGTTTGCTGGACTACTACAACCTGGGCATCTCCAGACGTCAGGCCACGACCAGGATGCGTCAGCAGTTTGGTAATAACACCCCTTCTAAGAACTGGATGTCAAAATGGTGGACTCGCTTCACCAATGAAAACTATGGCATCGAAGATATGCCGAGGTTTCTGGTTCTCTCGCCACGGCGTCGTCCACTACAGCATCCTACCCAACAATGCCACAGTGACGGCAGAGACCCTCTCTAAAGAATTGCAGGAGGTCAAGGTGAAAGCTGCCGCCTTGTCCCAGAAACTTGCAAATCCGTGGTTGCTCTGAGACAACGCGCGCCCCCACAAAGCGAGAGATACTCAGGCCGTCCTGGACAGGCTGGGCATCGAGACGATCACGCATCCACCGTATAGCCCGGACATTAGTCCATGCGATTACCACATCTTCCGGTCCATGCAAAATTTCTTGGACGGAAAACAGCTGAAGAACGAGCGCGACCTCGAGGACGTGATCGATTGGAAACTTGCGGAGGGGTGTAAACAGAGGTGTAGGTAATTAGATTACTTAGAGAAGATAAACTAAATGAAGCAGTTGAAGATGCTCTAAGTAGGGCCCCTTCAACTAAGAAGAGCATTGGACTAGTATCCGATGGCGAGAAATTGCCCATACGAGCAGCCGCAATTACTGGGCTATCTTACAGCCCAGTAATTGCGGTTCTTCCAGCTGCTAAAAAGACACATCGACGTAGATTCTGGACGCAGATTGCATACTTACAGGTTTCACTGATTGATAAAGGTGCCTTTTAATGGACAGCTACTGCTCACGGCCGGCACAAAGGGTGTCTGGGGGTGAGGAGGAAACGTGGTACTTCCAGCAAAAAAGGGACCTTAGAAAAATTTGCAGTTTCATGGAAATGGGATTCGTAATAAAAATGGGAATTAAATATTGATGCAAATAAACAAGTAGCTAAGTGTAAGCCTAACCTCTAATGTCGACGGTAATTGTGAGAACGCTTCCACTGCTGCGATGGTGATGATCATTCTGATAGAGGTGAAGGATAAATGATGGAAAAGTAAAACTTGAAAGCAAGAAAAAAAGCATAGAACGGGATGAATAGTGAACGATATGGTTATGGTGAACGAAAATGAAAATTATAATTCGAGAAGTCGAGAAAAGGATCAAAAGGGAAAGGGAAGACGTACCGATCAATAATTATGCTTTGCAGTGCGGTTGCAGTGGAGGCAAGAGCTTCAACGACAGCTTTGGTTAGGTGGTGTTCACTTGCAAAGACGGAGTACCTCTCATTCTTCGACGTCACCCGGAAATGTAACCCGTTTCAGTCGTCGGCTACATAATTCTAAATGATGGAATATTGGCATATCACCAATATAAGTTTCAGAAAATTGAAGAAGTTGCAATCAGTTATCAAAGATCTGGAAGGCGGTGTTAGCGCAGTAAGCGCAGTAGCTAAAGGGAGCTGATTCCATTTGGCACGTGAAGCCATTCTGGACAACTACAGCCTTTTTCACCCAGTGTTGGGCAGAACCCATTTTTCTATCATTTTGTGCTTGAACTATTTTGCAATTTATAACCTTAGGGTGTGCCACACCTGTAAGCCTTCTTATGAGTGTCTTGTGTTTTCTTTTGTCTTCACGCACTCGTGTCTCACCCTGCGATTCCTGTGAATTTCTGTCGAGCACCCTGTAAACTCTTCTCAAGTTCGGCCAAACGGTACTAGCGTCATTGGATGCCATCCAGCTGCTTGTTCCATATCTTGACCAGTCATTTCTACAAGTTCGATTGGAATTTACAGGGAGCTTGACGGGAGACGGCCAAAAGAATCGTAATTTGAAGCTCCACGCGCACGGCGATGGGCGCGGCGTTTTCTTAACTCGTGTTAACCTGTCGACTGGAGCACCGGACTTCATGTAGACCCCGTCATCGTAGACATTCATGACTATTTTCGGTTCTGAATTGCCTGTTGTCGCCATCTACTACCTGAAACCATCGTCATTTGCGGGACGTCGCACGCCAGCGCAGGGAATTACGATTCTCTTGTGGCATATTCGCAAGGCTACAGGATGTTGACGAGGTTGTTCGTTATTCACATGTATACAGTTTGCAGGATTTGATGCGCTGGTAAGAGCTTACAGGTGTTATCCTCGCCCCCCCCCCCCCCATTACAGAGGTTACCCTTCTGCTTCACACCACGTTCTGCTCCACAAACAAACCCTTGAGCGGTTTAAGAACGATCGAAACCCTTGTTGACCTGGACGCATTCATCGTCTCCGGCCGATGCGGTACCCTTACGAGTATGAGCAGTGGATGTAATATTCTAAAAATATAGACTCACTGAGTATCCGCTCCTTGATGTTCAGGGTAAGCGATAGCACCAGGAAAGTCGTGCTCAAAGTCGATATCACTGAGTTGGCGCAGGGCTCGATGAGCCAGACGTCGCCACGTTCGACTCACACGTTCACATTTCAGAACCTCCCGTGGGGAAAGATATGTGAATACTCTCACCCATACATCTTCCATCTGAAAA